GGGGTGAAGGACAGGCCGTGGGTTGAGAGGGGCAAGGGCAGGGGCAGGACGCTGGCATATCAATGCTGCTCAGCGCTGCACATCCTGGTGAGCGAAGCGGGTAAGGGCAGCTCTGATTTTTCTATGACAAAAATGCCAAACTACAGATATTTAGAATTTATTTTATTAAGATGATAGAGGTACTGGTAGGCTTCCAAATTGCTTTAATATTGTGAATATATCAATAAAGCATTGCCCAACTGCTTTGATCTCTCTCTTCATATATATATATATATATATATATATATATATAATGTTCTTTTGTTTTAATCGTGGCAGAACATGGATTTGGGGGTATATGAGTGACTTTGGGATTTTAGGATTTCTTTTATCAAGGATTTTGTAGTTTTTAAATAGGAAACACTAGAATTCCTGCTAGTGAGGTAAGTGGTAGGACTGAGGCAGAGAAGCCTGCTCAGAGCTGGCACCCAGGGCTCAGCTGGAGGTGGCTGACCTGGCTCCAAGTAGCAGCAACAATTCAAAGCAGGTCACCCTTGGGGAGCAGATTAACCTTTGGGCAGCAGGGTCCGGAGGCACCGGATCCCCCCAGTGGGGGAGTGTAGGGGGCGGGACTGCCGGCAGGCACTTCCGGGAAGACCGAAGCGCCTGATTGGCTGATTGGGGCAGCGTCGGGAAATTCAAACCGCGGCTTTTAAGCCGTAGCCCCCGGCACTTGGGAGCCAGGAGCAGTGGGGAGAGGAGGGATCCAGGCACGTGTGTCCTGCACGTACGTATGCCCCCTTACCAGACCCGAGGCGGAGGCGGATGCAGCAGCAGCGGAGCCAGCAGTGGGGGCAGCACCAGCTTATCCCCCTAAGGTAAGTGGGCAGAGGGACCAGATGCAGCTGAGCTGGATCTGGAGGGGAAGCCCCCCGTATCCCTCTTAGCTGAGCTGGTAGGGAGCCATGCTCCCGAGTGTGCAAACAGGCGCGCTCTGTAAGAGCGTGCCAGTGTTTGCGTCGGCGTTCACGCCGGCAGACGAACAGGAAGGGCCAGGAGGGAGACTCCTACTAGGGCAGGGTGTAGGCACTGCACTAAGCTAAAAACAAGCAGCAACTCCTATGATGGTGTTGATGTAGAGTGCTGCCAGGGCCCCTGCCCGGGGGGAGCAGCCTACCCAGGGCTTGTCTGAGGCCTCCACCCAGGCAGAGCCCATGGGGGAGCTAGTGTCCCCCCACCCCCTGGCCTGCAGGGATTGCCCAGCAAGGCCCGGGGGGGGCAGGGATTGGGGACCCCCACAC